ATTCCCCCAACCTAAAATCCAACGATTCAATTGGATCACTTTCTCCAAATGAGCCTTGACTGTAGATCAACTCTAGCGTATAGGCCTACAGCTACCCAACAGGTGCACTATGTGCCTGGAGGAAGAAGAGACTAACCCAGACTTGTTTCATACACTGCCTGCTAGCCAGCTCCTTATGGGGACACCTTCTCCAGCTCTTTGGTTGGGTTTGGTTGAATCCGTCCTCCATTCCCCAACTCATCTTGGCATTCTTTTCCCCTCCATGGCTAAAGCAGGGGAGGATTCTGTGGCGCACAGCCTTTGCTGTGTCACTGTGGGTCATTTGGTTGGAGCGTAACCATCGTATTTTCCGAGGAGGGCAGATGCACCAATTCGCCCTCATTGACAAAAACAAATCTCTTGTCACTTTCTTTGCCAAAAACCACAAACTTTTCAAGCATTGCTCACCTCTGGATTTCCAAGTCAATTGGAGGTACTTACTTTCTCTAAGGACAGTATGCACATCTCCCATTCCTCTATTTGGAGAGCGCCAAGTCAAACTTAACTTTGACTGTTGCTCTCTTGGCAACTCGGGTCCCGGTGGTGTTGGGGGCATATTCAGAGATCCTGAAGGCACCACACTCGCTTCCTTCTCCTTTTTTGCTGGGTACACCGACTCCACGACGGTCGAAACCTCGGCTCTTCTGTTGGGACTCCGCCATTTTGATCCCTCTTGGGGGACAATATTGGTAGTTGACGGGGATTCCAAGAGCGTCATAGCTTCGGCATCTAGATCCTCCCCCCATCCCTGGAGATTGAAGCGCTTCTTTGACAAGATTCTTCACCTTTGCAAGGCTACGTACGTGGTTTGGCAGCATACCTGGAGGAAGGCCAATGCTGCAGGAGACGCCCTCGCTAAGCAAGGCGCCTCACAGCAGCATATGCAGGGGATTTAGCATCTTTTGGAGCCCTAATAAGCTCTTTGGTTATACTGTACACACCTTATGCTTGTAGAGCACTGTTGAGACCGCCGTAAGGGGTTTTTGATATACGAACACTCGGGCTGTGGATGTTTCATTTTTTGTACGCTTCCCTTATCCATACAAAGGTGAACACTTTCGGAAAAAACAGAAGCCCATAAACCCATGAGACTGGGAAGATTTTACATTTGCAGGGTTAAATTTTAAGCTATGGTTGTTTTCAGCCAAAACTTTTTAGTTTAATGAGGGATCGCAACAAGTGATTTGAAGGATATGCGTGGGAAAAAGAGGTATGTGTTCTTGATTTTGGGATTTGGGGAAAGAATAGATCAAAATGAACAACGGTTTGAGATGAATGGACTTCATGGCATGGGAAGTGAAGAAGCACAATTTTTGCGGGATATGGGAGCTGCATCTGTTTTCGGTAGATGTAGTCCCTTACCTAACTGAGAGGAGGACAACTCTTCGATTCAGATTAGTTTGTGCTTCAAGCAACATTACAGATGAGTGCCACGAGGTATCCTAAGAGAGCAAAAGGTTCTATGACTTGACAAGATTGTTTTGTTGTTCTAACTTTGTCATTTTGAGATATGAAAATGTGATGATAATGGTCAATGGTTTAAACTACAGCGATCGCAGAACTGCACAAATAGGTTATCTCATCTGTAGGTGTTGCTTGGAGTGACATCTTGATCACTTGGTTATGGAGCTTGAGAAGCAATTGGTTTATGCAACAGACTTCATAATTGATATGTTCTATTATGAGCTAAGGAAGATGAACATTTAATTGTTATCAATGATTTCGTTTTTGTCTTCCCAGTGATATCTTCTTTGTCCGCGAGTCATCTACTGATTTGATACCATCCATGATGCAATGGAAAGAAAATCAGTTTTCTCTACTTTTATTGCAGTCTGAAATCGCAGCACGTGGCAGAGCTGCTGCTTCAGATAATGGACAGTCAGGTCCAGATGCTGCTGCTTCAATGGGAGGGGACTTTTTTGAGAACTTGACTTCTTCAGATTTCTACAAGAATACAAAGGTTGTATCTTACTTTTAGCCTGGTAAATTGTTACTTTTACTATCAACCTACTTTCATATAAATATTTCTTGTTGTGGAAATTTATATTTTCTGCTACGTGAACTCTTATGTACAGGTTAAGGACATAGCTGGGTCATTTCGCTGGGCACCATTTCTCCCCATTCAGAACTCTGACTCATTTCTGACCATGCTTTTACTACTATCAAAGTATAGAATGAAGAGCCTTCCTGTGCTGGATCTAGGTGACACAAAGATTGATAATATTATCAGTCAGTCCTGTGTTGTCCATGTGCTTGCAGAATGTGTTGGACTTCCTTGGTTTGAGACATGGGGAACAAAGAAGCTCTCTGAACTGGGTCTTCCAGTAATGAAACCTAATTGTATAGTCAAGGTGTGTGTCATTATCTGTTATTTGCATATTCTTGCTGTTGCATTACCATACACTGAAAACTAATGGCAATTTTGGTGTCCGACTTCCGTAATTGTGATTTGCTGAGAAAATGTGTGCATGACATGCATGTCAAGTGACATATGGCATATAAAATCCTGCATGGTCACTCAGTTGCCTCACAAGAAGTTTAAATTTAACACTCTGGACTTTCAGATTCACATAAAACGCATGCTTGTGTAATGTGGTGCTAGCATGGTTCATAAACCAAAATTACCTCTCATTTAGGTAGCATGTCCAAGTAATTGTTTTCAGTTTGTTTATTATATTTCTGGCTTTCACTGCAGATGAAAAATAGTATATTGTTGCATCTAGTTGTGGACATTGTTCTCTTTTTGAAAAAGTGATGTAATTATTGAACAGAACAAATTATGTGGTGCATGAACTGTGCTAACTAACTGACTTGGTTTCCTCTGGAGTTTGGTAATGTTTGTCTGAACTCTGATCATCCTTGTGAAAAATGAAAGTTTCAGATTCCATGGTTCCATTGTTTGGACGGATTTGGGTTGTTGGGCTTTCCCTTCAATCGGTCTGTATATGCCAGCATTCATATGTTAATGGATTTTGAAATAGTAAGTTTGGCAGTTGATGGAAGTTTTTAGGGAGTTAACCTTATCGTTTTCTCATTCATGGCCATGTAAAGAGGTCAGCAAGCTGCTGAGGTATATAAATGCTGTGAAGGTGCAAAATCTGCAGTAAACTGCTATTGGACAAAATGAAAATCGATCTCATATTTCTCGTTTTGGATAACTATTACTTGTTCAATCTAGAAATATTGGTTTAGGATCATCCTAGATACTAAATTGTTTCATCAAACCTGACTGAGGTGATTTAAGAGATGACTCCATATTTGATGCTTGTAGAGACATCTCTACTGTAGTCAAGATCTGGTCAGACCCTTAGATCTTAATCAACAATTGAAATCAAGTTACAACTTTTGATCTCGTCATATAAAAGGTTTTACAGATCTGGTTACATCCTTAGATCTTATCACACTCCCTTTTTTCTAGAAAAACATTAGCACTAACAATATTTCTTTGATTGGCATATAGAATCATAAAAAAACTCACCTCCATTGGCATGGTTACTATTGAGATATATGGTACTGCTGAAAAAAGTTGGGGTTTTAGGGCATATGATGATGTCATCTAACCCAAAGGATGATGTTAGCCCTAAACACAGTTCCTGCACACCTTTTTGAAGATTGACCCCCTCTTTTCCTCTTCTTGCTCTAGTACCAAGTCGAAATTAAAGTAGAGAAAAAAACAGTTTGGTAGGATCTAGAGAGAGAGAGAGAAAAGAAAATTAAAGTAGAGACGAAAACAGTTTGGTAAGATCTAGAGAGAGAAAAGAAAGTAAAAATGGTGATGAAAAGAAGGAAGAGAGAGACATGTGAGAGATAGAGAGGGAAAGAGAGTGACATAGGGGTCACATATGACCTCTACCCCTCTTATAATATTAAGTAGTAAACTTCATTACAACTTATGGACAATACTGTCCTTATTGTTAGATACATAAGACAAATAAGGACGAAAAAAAGATAAATGACATTTCTGTCCTTCAAATACAATAAAACTTATTTTTTGTATTTCCAATAGAGTAGAGGCATGCTGCTTGAGATCAAGAAGCTATCGCTTGGAAAGAGTCACAAATTTTCCTCATGTCAAGAAGGAATCTCATCACAAGGTGAAGAATCAGCACCATATTGTTGTTGAGGCATTGCAGTCTCCTCATTGTCATTCTAGCAAAGGCCCTGGATGTATTCCAGTGAGATCCCAACTTGTTTCCTTAGTGTGCTGAGATTTCCCATGATGAGGTCATTTTAACTTATCTTTCTCATCAGTTGTAAAAACCCCTGCGGCCACCACTACGTCCTCCACTTGGACCACCACTATGGCCACCAACATAATTATTGATAGATACGACTATTATTTTCTGGCGAGTTTCTTCACAGTGCAGCAGGGAAAAAACCGTTCCAAGTGATGGTAAAGTTTTGCCACCCAAAATATTTGGACACGATATTCTCATATTTGCGATTAAGGTCAAATATCTTCTTATGTTCGACAATTTCTCTATGCTCTTTTGCACAATGCAGCAACTTATGGTTTGGTAGTGGTTTAACTCATCCCAGAAACCCCATAATGAAGCATAATAAACTAATAGATCTTTTTGTTTAAAATTGCTAATCTGTTGTTCCAACTCATGTACTTTTGTTATATTCTTCTTTCATGAATATGCCCCAGCGACTGCATCCCATATTCGTATGAAGTATTATAATTCATAAATGTGCAACTCAAATTTGTTTGCATAGAGTTTAAAATCCAGTTAGGAGATGCGAGTTCGTTCAAGTAGAAGACTCAAAAAGAGTAAGGGGTTGGGTCCAAAAGGACATGGTTGAAAATATTGAGAAAAGATATGGGGACTTATGGCCTTACTGAGGGTATGGCCTTTGATAGAGCAGAATGACGAGTCAGGATTCGTGTAGCTAACCCCAAATAGTTGGGACATTTCTCTGATGATGATGATGATGAGAGTTTAAAATCCAGTTATAATAATCAGCTCATCACGTTCCCAATCAGCATAAGTGGATTCCTTTCCATCGGGTTTCACTATACAACCATCAGTATAAGTCGACTTTTTCCTGCCTCCAAGAAATAACTTAACAAAACTGGCCCATTCTGGAGAGTTTGTGCCATCCAATATCACTTAAGTGATTTGGAGTCTAGAGTACTTCAGACTTGATGTTTGTTGTGACATTTTTCAATTTTAAGGTGCAAGAAAAACAAATCACGGTGTTGCTGAATTCTGGATGCACCCACAGATTTCTTTCCGAACACTCTTCATAAACACCTAAAGCACCGCACAATGCATTGGCCAATCAATTATACAATCATGGCCACCAATTTCAGATGTCCTGTGGATGGAATATTATTTGATCCACATCATATAGTTGTTGGTTGTCCCCAAAAAGTAAAATCTTAGGGTTTCTTCATTACTTATTTTCGTCCATTGAGAGCCATACATCTGAAACCAGCAGTCATATGGCCAGTATTTTGCTACCCGACTCTCACTTCATCAAATCAATCTTGCTCTGATACCAAGTTGAAAATATGAGTGTTCTCTAATAAGCAACTACCCTATGGAGAAAGAGAAATTAGGAGGTGGAATGAAGAGGAAGAAGGGAGATAGTTGTGTAAGAGGAAGAGAGTGAGGAGAGAATTGTGTGGAGGGAGAGAGAAAAGAGAGTTGTGTGCGAGAGAGACTAACATGACACACTCTTGGGTTCTGCCCTATTATTACTAAAAGAGAAAAATTACAGCAATGCCCATGTACAAATTTATAACATTGTAGACCCCATTATTCTAATTATACTCCTAACTTTACTATTGTATTTTTCAATAACTATTTGGATCCATAGGTGGCCTTAAATAGAGTAGAATGGTAGACCAGGATTCGTGTAGCCGACCCCAATTAATTGGAAAAAGACTATGATGATGATGATGATTTGGATCCATAGGTGTATCAACTGGCCTTGCACCTAGCATCCTTGTTTCTGATAACAAATCCATTACATAACTTCCTTTGAGATAGACTAATACCATGCTTAGACCGGGCTAATTCAATTCCAAGAAAATACCTTGGCTATATCCCAAATCCTTTGTCTGAACATACTGGTTCAGATACTCCTTCAATTTATTTATTCCTTCTTGATCACGTCTTACAATGATAATATCATCAACATAGACCACCATGACAGTTATACATATGTGCATTGCCTCTGAATAAATACTGAATGATCTATATGACTTTATAGAAACCCATATGCTATAATAATTTCACTAAACTTCTCAAACCATGCACGTGGGGACTACTTCAGGCCACAAAGACTTTGTCCAACTTGCATGCCTTGTTTGACTCCCCTTGAGCAACAAGTCCTGGTGATTGCTTCATGTATATCTCTTCTTGTAAATCACCACGAATTAAGGTATTTTTAAATCAATTTGCCACAATGGCCAACGCTTTTTGCTGCTACAAATATTAACACTCTAAAATAATTAAGTTTACCAACGGGAGCAAATGTCTCAAAGTAATCAGTACCAAAAGTTTGTGTACACCTTTTTGTGACCTTTCCTTTAACCTCTCTTTCCATAGCTCCATCTGGACGATATTTAACTGCCTAAGCCCAACAACAGCAAACAAGTTGCTTTCCTGCTGGCATGTATAACTAAAGTCGACTTATACTGCTGGCATGTATAACTAAAACAAATTCATTAAAGTCGTTCTTACATAACAAATGCGCAAGTGTTCACAGGAATAGGTCTATAGTGAAGGTCAAGAGGTTAGAGAAAAGATAAGTGGCAATGCCTGTTTTATTTCAGGTTAGGGAGGATGAGCCTGTGCTACAGGCCTTCAAGTTGATGAGACTGAAGGGTGTTGGTGGGCTTCCAGTAGTTGATGGTGGAAAGAAGCCAATAGGAAACATAAGCATAAGAGATGTTCAGTACCTTCTGACTGCTCCTGAGATATACAAAGACTACAGGTTCTCTCTCTCTCTCTCTCTCTCTCTCTCTCTATTTGTGTCTATGCGTGTGGCTATGTGCGTATGTGTGTGGAATATGTGCTTTTGGTACATGGAGTTCACAATCATTATTGATTCTTTAGATGTAAAATCAGGTGGTATACAAAGTTCAAAATAAAATTTGTCAAATGTTGTGATACGCTTTAACCTGCTGGATTTCACATCCATTGGCTAAGAGTGATTGTGAACTTGTGCCAAAGTGAATGGTCTTATAGAATATAATCCCCATATATATATATATATATACGTATGTATGTCCTTATGACTGTTACTTATGTTTGATATACCAGTTCAGTGCACAGAATGTAGCATGGTAGTTACAATTGGAAAATTAAATTATGCGTGTGTATATGCATGTATGTGGCTTGTGTGTGCGTGTATGCGTGTGTGTGTATGTATGTGCGTGTGTGTCCTGACTGCTTCTTATGTTTAATATGCTAGTTCAGTGCACAGAATGCTGCTGTTAGTTACTATTAGATAATCAAATTGCAGTAACATGAGAGAGAGAGATATACACGATTGATCATATTGTTCATCTTATTGTAGATCAATTACTGCAAAGAACTTCCTCACAGCTGTGCGATGTTACCTTCAGGAGCAACATGAGAAGTCGGCTATTTTGCAGGGAATAATCGCATGCGCAAAGGATGACATGTTGAAAGAAGTCATATTGAGGCTTGCTGGTGCAAATATACATAGGATTTATGTTCTCGATAATGAAGGGAATTTGGAGGGGGTAATTACACTGAGGGATATCATATCCAGGCTTGTGCATGAGCCACATGGTTACTTTGGGGACTTCTTTGATGGTGTGGTTCCTCTGCCTAAGAACAGCACCGTCTGACAAGCGCACATTTTTCACAAGAAGTGTCTTGAAACATTTTACTGGAAACTTAGATGTACGTGCTGGTTCTGTGTGTGAGAGAGGTGTTGTCGATGCAATCAGGTTCTGCCTGTAACATTTTGGCCAAACTTAGTTAGTGATGTCTTTGTACCTTACTTCCTCTCTCACTCACCTCATGATCAACCTTGTAAGTTTTCGTCTAAAACTGTAATTTCTTTGTGGAATAAAGCTGGGTGCTAGCTGTGGTTTATATGTATGTGGATTCTCATAGAAGCAATGGAAAGAAAAGCTTGCTTCTTATGCTGCTGTTACATAAATAACAATGCATTTACAGGAATTATCTGAGGGGTGTGGTTTGTATAAGGCTAAGACTTTAAACAATCAAAGTAAGGTACACCTTTAAATAATTTCGAAATATATCGTTTTAGTACATCAAATCTTTATGATGGCTTGAAAATTTATTTTCAATCTCTAGTTATAAAATTTAAAGCTTAAAAAATAGTGTGGATGAAACAGATCTATAAACACTTGAAAATCTTTAAAATTGACTTCTAGATAATGCATTATAAATGCACTATTTTCAAGACTTGAAGTTTATTTTCTTTAACATCTATGTATCTCAAGGATGAGATGATCGAATTTGACGGTTTTTCGACATCAAAACTTCTTATAGTGAATTTTTGAGGCACGCCTCAACCTTATATAAACATTTTCCTTTGAGATGCCTTCTAGAAACTAATGATCCTTGCATTTCCCCCTCCTCCCCAAGAACAAGAGACCACATACAAGAAATGGATATTCACACGCATACAAGAAATAAAAAATAAAATAAAAAATAAAAAGAGATAAAAAGAACTAAAGGCAAATAGACAACTAAAATTATGATTGTTACTCCAAAATATCTCTAGAGGCATCAATAATCCCGCACTCCCCATGGGAAAGGGAGATAGCACTCAAACTCCCTCACAAACAACAGTTCACAATCCATAGAAAGCTGACTTAAATTATTTTTCAAGTACCCTGAATTTAAATTTTAAAATTCTCTAAACAAAGTTCATAATTAAAATTCAAAATATCAAGGAAGTTCCATATTTTAAGTTTTCTTTAGAATAAGATTTTCAATCTATGCATGCACCCTTCAAAATTTCTCTCTCATGGTAATTTCTATGCGGAGCCGAACTTCAACCATTAAATCGAGCCTAAAGCAGCCATCCCATCTCTAAGGGCTCTCTCCCTCCCTCTCTAAAACTTGAGCCCATTGCAGGTTTCCAGAACTCACCAACGAATCTATCCTCTAAAGCTACCAGAACTCTTAGACTGAGCTATCAAATGCTAGGTATGGTTCTCTCTCTCTGCTTTTGTCATTTGAGAACTTGATTAGTTCATAATTTTACAAGATTACAACCGGCGTATCTTACTTTTAGGCTGATAAATTGTTACTTTGACCATCAACCTTCCTTCATATAATATATAATATATATCTTTGTTGTGCCGACCCCAATTAATTAGATAAAGGCTAAAATGATGATGATATATCGTTGTTGTGGAAATATATGCTTTCTGCTTTCTGACTAAAATGATGATGATATATGTACAAGTTAAGGACATAGCTGCATCATTTTTCTGGGCACCATCTCTCCTCATTCAGAACTTTTGACTCTCGACCATGCTTTTACTACTATCAGAGTACAGAATGAATAGCCTTCCAATGCTTGATCTAGGTGACAAAAAGATTGATAATTCATGTTATCGGGTTGCGAAATTTGTTAAGGGTTCTTTGGAGAGGATGAATTCTATAAAAAATCAAGACTTCATGCTGTAAATTTCTTCATGCATGGTGACCTTTAGGTGGTGCATATTAGACAGCATCCCATTTTACACTTAACAAGGACACTAATAGGGTCTGAAACCTCATGTATTTCGCTTGTCCTCAAATGCCATGAAAATCAATGAAGGAAGAATCCCCCCAGTCACATGAGCTATAGAAAACCAGATACCTTTATGCTTGCATGTACAACCAAGAATAAATAATGCGATATCTGCAAAACATACATATACGTCATTAATTGGCAGCAGGCCGGACTAAAACCAATTCTGCATAAGTAACCTCAAGAGGTTAGAGATAAGATATGTGGCAATGCCTGTTTTGCTCCAGGTTAGGGACGGACGATGAACCTGCGCTACAGTCCGTCAAGTTGATGAGACTGAAGGGTGTTGATGGACTTCTGGTAGTTGATGGTGGAAACAAGCCAATAGGAAACATAAGCATAAGAGATGTTCACTACCATTGGACTGCTCCCCAGATATACAAAGATTACCGGTTTGCTCTCTTGCTATATATGTAAGGTGCAGGGTGTATAAGACGCTCGCCTTAAACAATCAAAGTAAGGCACCTCTCCAAATCTGGTAGAAAAATGCAATTTCGATGCCGATAACTTTTACAAAGGTCTAAAATCCATGTTTACTATTAATTACGAAATTTAAGGCTCCAAAAATAGTTGAGTAGAAATATATATACTTGAAAATCTTGCAAAATGGACAGTCCAGAGAATGTTACAAGATGCCCTTTTTTTTTACTTGAATTTATTTATTTATTTTTTCATATCCAACATCTTGAGGTCGAGATGATCTTATCGGAGATTTTCCAGTGTTGGAACAATCTTATTCAATAGATTTTTAATGTGTGCATTACTTACTATAGTAAATGGTTGAAACTTATACAACCTTTTTCCATATACAACTCCTGCTGACTGCCACTCACGTTTAATATACTAGTTCGGTGTACATAATATTGCTTGTTAGCTACAATTGGAAAATTTTACCTTATAAACCATCTTACATCCAACTGGTTCTTCACTAGTAGGATGTGCTACAAGCGTCACAGTTTTCTTTTGCATTGATTTTAATTGCATGATCATTCATCACAAAGTGTTTAGAGGCACAAGATTCACTAAAGTAACTAAAATATGATAGCTAAACAAGGAAACAAAACCATCCTTGTAGAAGTCAAAGAACTGGAAAGAAGAAAAAGGCAATGATAGATAGCATAAAGTAGCGAGAATTAAGGAATGGTTTTGCTCTTTTAACGTTGAAATACAAGCCAATGAGTTAATAAGCTTTTCTGCAGTTGATAGATAGATTCTATGGAGGTACCATTTATGACAAATCTGCAAAGTCTTTTTTCCTTCTTTTCGTGGACAAGTCTAGATAGAGAGTCTTCAAGCAATAGAGTCGGAATGATGCAGCAATTGAAATATAGGCTCAACTAAGTTTCAAAATCATGTAGTGTATGGAACTGTTCTCAATAAATAATATTAGAGGTTTTATATGGTTTCTAGTTCATTGGACATGCACATGAACTAGTTTATAGTATTATTTTGGTTCTTCTAATGATCGGGAAGGAAACAAATATTTCATATTTCATTTTGTTTTACATTCAGCTGGAAATCTGCACTGAACTTCTTCCTTCCCATTGATACCACCTATACGAAGGGAATTGTTTAATATAGTGAATGCTTTACTGATCTACTTAATATATAATATGTGTTTCACAAACTAGAAAAAACTATACAATCTGTGATGCATAATTAACAAATAGAGTTAAAACCAGAACTATCACAAGTAGAAACGACCTTTAAGATGAACATCACGGCAAGAATAACGAGCCAAGAAGGACCATACACCTATATGATCGCTATAATAGCCACACAAAAAGGATGTTGCAATATTCCTAACCAACAGTATCCCACATTTTGAATAGGAAATAGACCAGATTGCTAAGTGAAATAGATTGCAGTGTAAAAATCTGCTCTGTTATTGTGGAAAAAGCACGAATAGAGTATTTAATAAATGTTCAGACTATAAAACAATCCGCTTCTTTTCCCACCTTTGAATTCATTTAGTAATAATGAGATAAGGACAAGAGATGGTGTGCTTACCACTATGCTGGTGTTTCCATTAGAAACATGGAGGTGGCACACAATCTTTTGCCACTCAAATCCTGCTGTTGAATCCGCTTCTAAATACTTATCAAGAAAGAAAAGAGGGTAAAAACGATTCTAGAATTTCAATAGATGGACCTGGAAGAGAGTATAGTTCAGAAATATAGCATCAGTCACATTAGGACATAATCTGCCCCTATATGCTCTAACCTGAATGAGACGCCTATCCATCAGCAAACTCAAGAAAGAAAACCATGAATCAATGCATTCAACCCATGTCCCCCATCTCTACAAATGATGATACACTTGTTTTTTAAATCAGTAATGCAATGCATTGGGCGTCTCATGTAATTAGGGTTGAGTCTTAAAATTGCATTCAGCATGCGACTAAAGTGTTGGCTGACAGTCTTCCCTGAGCGCCCAATTCGTGACCTATCTTGCGATTCCTCAAGTTGTGGCCAATAGTGTGCAAGAACATAACAAATTGTTCATCTAGAGATACCAAGAACATATCATCAATGTATTCTCTCTGCCTAATAATATCCCCAAGTTGGAAGTAGGCAGCTCGACTCATTCTTGTTTGGTTATAACAACTCACTTCATCCGTGTGGATTATGGAGCTATAGAAGTTAGTGTCCAATGGTCTTCGACTGGGACCCTCGTTTCTACGAAAAGCAATAGCCAAAGCTGCGGCTGCTGCACTTAAACTGGCCGCATATACAGCCAAATTTCCCATCATCCTTTCGAAGTCGGTTGTGTCTCTCCGTTGGATAGTCATTGTAGATATCAACTCGATGGATATAAGTCAACCATGCTTGGTAAGTTTTAGTTTTTGCACTTCAAAGCATCATACAATATGTTGCCTCTGGCAGATGTAGATCGTAATTTTATGTTTATCCTTGGTAAGGCCAAATTAGCCCAAAAAGATCTAGAATACATCAATACACTTTTGACCTTTAAAAACATCAATATAAATGGCAACAATATTTTACCAGAAAATAGTGAGAAGCACATATCAAAAAACCATGAATTAAGACTATACTTATACAGTTTGGGCCATAATTCAGTGAGAATACTTGCTATGCAGCAAATTTTACGTTAAAATTCAGATATATTTAAAATTGCTTGGCAGAATCAAATATATTTTAGAGCACCTGAACTTTTTGCCATTTCTCAACAATATACTGCTCATAGACAAATATAATGCAAAACAATGACGAAAATACAATAGTTTTGCATTCACAAGGAGATGGACAAAGAACTCCATAACTCATACACACAAGGAAAAGAAATATTGCAGTTAACAATTGAAAATGAGAAAGAATAGAAACAAAAAAATTATCAAGAAATGGTGATTTGTAGCTTCACTTCCCATCCCCCTCCTCTAAAAATTCAGCTTTGTCCCAATAAACCAACAACAGATCCACAGACAAGGTTCACAAGGATGTCTTTCTTATTATGTTCCTGAGGGACATGACTTTCATCTCCTCATAAAAGTAGAACTTCAAACCAGCATATGGGAAGATTCCATAAAGAGACGAAGCTGATAGAGAACACGATATCACAATAAGCGAAGAATAATGGGAGTGACATGTACGCATCAGATAGATACTTTAAACTGCTACTGTGAAGGTATACATGTGGGAGGATACTTTAAACTTTAGCATATAAGCAAAAATATGTAAACTAAACCTACAATTCTTGCCATCTTAAGTCAAAAATATGTAAACTAAACCTACAATTCTTGCCACCTTAAGTCTCTCTCTCTCCCTCCCTCCCTCCCTCCCTCCCTCCCTCCCTCAAATCAGCAAAACAAGACATAGAAGGATGCAGGAAATCCAAATGAATGGCTGACTTGCACTAAACAAGGGGATCTTGTATCTAACTTTCTAAGACAACAGCAAAAAGTCTCATGAGTCATGATAAATCAGTAACTGCAGAACTAATTCAGTATTGAATACTTGAACATACTCCTATTATTAATCAAGACCCAACAAGGCTTATCAAAGGATGCATTATTGCTTGAGCAACCAGGGAAGCAGAGACCATCTTATTAATTTCTCCATGGCCGTTGAGAATGAGCAAAACATTGTCAAAATCAACCATGGTTACCAAGAGAAGCAAGATCATCAAAGATGGATTTCATCTAAAAAAATAATTTAAGATGAGGGAATTCCCCTGTTTGCAGTTTGAAGGTAAAACTTCAGAGGCACCCAGCAGGTTACTGAAAATTATGATTGATAGTCAGGGTTCAGTTTGGTAAAATACATACATACATACATACATACATACATACATACATACTTGCAAGCACAAGCACGCGCACACGCACACGCACACGCACACACACACATGCACACACACACGCACGCACACACACACAATGAGAACTTTATAGGGCCATGTATTGTCTCAAGTGAGAATGTTTCTCTGTTGAGACTCAATAGTGACAAGGGTTTTCCTATATGCTGAACCCAATATGTGCAGATTACACCAATCCTAATGCAATCAAACGTCATCAAGTCGCCCATAATCAAGCTAAACTAAATACATTGACATACTACTTCCATTTGGAAAGCTGCCCACAAGGGATAACTATGATGCAAGTTCAAACATGATGAAGTTTTGGATCAATAACTTGCGTAATTGATGCTAGATTATAAAGTTGTGTCCCGACTGCAACTGAGCACCCTGTGCATCTGAAATTTCCTCGCTTTAAATTTTCAGATAAACAATGCAAATTAGCGTTAAAAAAATCGACTCGGACAAGGTAATCAGGACCTGGCCAAGGCAGTTTACTTAGGCGAGTCCGAGTAACTCGCCTAAGTCCGTCTCATTTTTTTTTAAAGAAAATGAAGAAATAAAATAGTTATATTTAATATAGGCGACACTTTTATCAACAAAATAGCAAACGGCGTGCTGGTTTGTGTGCCTAATTTTAAAGGGCCTCTTTATGACAGGTAGCGAGTTTGATTCTCGGAGGGCAGTTTTTTTTTTTTGAACTCTAACGAAATGAAGTCTTAAAAAAAAAAATTGAAGTCTAATGAAATGAAGTCTTAAAAAATTGTGGCGGGCAGGATTCGAACCCCGATTGGGATAAAATTTATTCGTTAAAGCTTAACCAGTAAACCATTCTAACATATCTAATATGACTTTGAGGTAGTATTATATTTAAAGTTTAAAACTATTTCGTACAACTGACTCGCCCAAAAATTGCCTCACCCATGGGCTGAGGCCGAGTAACTCGGCCGAGTCTCAAAACGCTGATGCAAATTATAAGCAACTTCATATTAACAAGACTGACAAGTTTCAATGAGTTTATAAGATAGGTAAAATGTCAATGCATACAAAGAATGAAGCATCCCATCAAATGGAAACATCACCTCACTTTAAATTTTCAGATAAACGATGCAAATTATAAGCAACTTCATACTAACAAGATTGATAAGTTTCAATGAGTTTATAAGATAGCTAAAATGATAATGCAAACAAAGAATGAAGCATTCCATCAAATGAAATGATTCCAAATGGTAGCTTTCAATGAATCCGTAAGTCCCATAAACATAGAAACATAAGAAATCAGATTTTAAGATCTCTAATGCACATTTACATTAAAATCTTCCAATATCAAACCGGAATAGATCAACAGATGAATGAAAAAGGATAGTTACACAACATTCATATCGACTTCAAATATTTATCCAAATGAAAATAAAAGAAAGGAGAAAACACATGATCATCAAAACTAAATCTTCACAAAAAAATATAGTGAATACCTTAAAATAAACAGAGAACAGGACTTTGTACTCAAATGGGGAGGGGCAAGCTTCATAGTATATATACTGTAAAAGCGCGAGTAGATCCGAAGAAGCTCTTCAACAGCTAATGGCTCTACAGAGAGGTGCGTGTGGATTCCTCTAGAAAGAGAGGGAAGAAGCTCGGGCGCTAGGGTTTCCTTCACAGCGGTGCTCTAGCAATGGTTTCTCTGTGTTGCAATAATAGTTTCTTCACAGCGGCGCTAGGGTTTCTTCACAGTGGCGCTAGGGTTAGAACCACGCGGACTTCAAATATCTTATCCAATCCAACTTATCGCGTGGACTGACAGGTCCGTCCAAAAATAAGTGATTTCCATGAAATGTCTAAATTTAGGCTTCATATGAATATTCAGAAATCCCATGGAAATCTCAATTCCAACAGAAATGTCAGTTCTAAGCGAACCAAACACGATTGTCCTGTCATTTCCAGGAAAAGTGACTTCTGGAAATGCCCTAAATGATGATTAAAAGCTAAATCTGGCAGATGATATTTTTTTCCAAGTGTAAACCTTTCACCATCACCAATCTAAAATCGATCAAGTTGTTTCACATTATCCACTAAGGCACCATATTGCCAAACACTGATTGCTATTATTTGATCCACTTCACTAAAGCAATCGTCAAAATATTACTATAATCAATTAAAGTATCAATGCAATCATCTGCACAACCGCAAGAGGCATACTTAACCAAGCAACATTGTGATTTCATTCATAGGCTCTCAACGTATCTTCAGCACATTATTGAGAGTTGATTGAGGACTCTCAACCACATTAATATAATATTTTGAGAAATTAGTGGATCAGATGCTCCATGTATTTAAGCATACCAAAGACAAAAAACTGCACCTCTGAAATTTTAGCATCAAGACAAAGAAACAAAATAAACTCACCGCAGAATAGAATGAGCAAGAAAAGTAATTAAAATGGATAGCTTCAAGTATCAATATATACTCTACCAATTAAAGTATACAACATCTAAGTAAGTTCCATTTTCGCATGGTAATCTTAGGGTTTACATTCGTAAAAGTAAATCGAATAGAAACACGGTTTCTACCAACTTAATGCAGGCCAAAAAGTGCAAGTTATTCAAGAATTGAACTCTTAGGGAAAAAAATGATCTAGGGCATCCTATGGGATACCCTTCTCCCTTATAAAAATAGAAAGTAAAATTTGAGATACAAGATAGAAGACACAATAAGGCAAGGAAAATGCTGATTCTTGTCATCCATTCTCATAATCATATAAAAGAGATTTGGTAGTTAGATCAAGATAGACTCCCAAATCATACCCTACACTAGCCATTCTATGCACAATCTCATGAGCATCCTTTCTCTTATTCTGAGAACATAGACTCCTAATTAACCTATTGCACACAGGTGGCATCAATTCAAATTTTTTCTGCAGTGTGTAAAGAAAAACATCAATAGCCATAGCATGTCTGTCCTCCAGGCAAAGGCCATTGATGAGCATCACACAACTTGGAGGTGTCACATCAAAATTGAATTCTCGAAGAATAGAGAAAATCTTAAGAGCTTTATCCAGCTCCCCACCTTTGCAAAACCCTATAAGCCAAATGGTATAAGGAGAAGAATCCACAGCCTTAAGCTTCAAATCCATCTCTATCAAGCCTCTGACTGCCTCTCCCGCTTTTCCTTGCTCAAAGTGTTCTCGTACCAATTCAATCATGCCGGCTTCCTTCTCAGAAGTAACAAACCTCTTTGAAAGAAAATTTAACCAAAGACTAAACGCTTGAGTGACCCGCCCTTTTCGACACAATGATGTCATAAGGACCTTGTAAACTACAACATCAGGCATATGCCCATGGCTTACCATTAGATCCAAAAGTGAAAATGCTTCCTCTTCTCTGTCAGCTCTTTGAAGGCCATCAATGAGAGTAGTATATGTGACTGCATCAGGAGAATAGCCTTTAAGTTGCAGCTCCTTGAGTAGCTTGAATGCCCCATTGATATTGCCTGCCTTGCAAAGGCCATTGATTAGTATATTATATGTTATAATATCAGGGACAGCCCCACTTTTAACGAGTTCTTTGAGGAGCTTGTATGCCTTCAAAATGAGCCCAGAGTTGCAGAGCCTCTCAACCATGGATTGAAGGCTCGCGCTATCAAGCGCAGGGTCAGAGCCTTGAGAAAGGCGCAGAAAGAGAGATGGGTTACTCCCCATCTCCATTTTATAGAACAGAATGTGGGCTTTCTCCACTGCACCAGCTTTGCACAATCCATTAATGAGAGAATTGAAGGTCATCACAGTGGGGGAACATCCAAGCCTTTTCATCTCCTCAAAAATCTCTTCGGCCTCATTAACCAGGCCTTCCTTGCATAAACCACATATGAGAATAGTGTATGTTGTAGAGTCAGGGAAACAGTCTTCCTTTGAGATTTCTAAACGTAGAGACCGAGCCTTATCTAAGAACCCAACATCACAGAGACCCTTAATCAAGGTGTTATAACAGTAAGTATCTGGAACCAACCCTTTACTAGTCATTTCCCTCAAAAAACCAAGCGCAGCATTAATTTTACCAGCTTCACAATACCCCTTGATCATCGTGGTATAAAGAATACAATCAGGGACTATGTTTTGCCTTTCCACCATGTTCCGATAATACTGGCAAGCTTCCTCAAACCTCCCAGCTCTAAACAGTCCATCGAGAAGAGTAGTATAACCATTTAACCCAAGCATATAATTCTCTCTCCTAAACGATCTTAAAAGCTCAAAAGCTTCATCTACTCTACCCAATTTGCAAAACCCACTTAGCATACAATTATAAGTGATATCATCAGGAAGACACCTGTTATCTCTCATGGTTTGTAGTAATTTACGAGCATCTTTAGTTTTCCTAGCATTGCACAAACCAGAAATAACAATTGTATACGTCAAAGTGTTAGGAGAAATACGTCTCTTTGCCATTTCATCAAACAATAACAGGGCATCTTGGGTTTTCCCAGCTTTGCAAAGCCCACCGATCAGAATGTTGAAAGTAGACTGGTTAGGTCGGCAATCCACTTTCAACATTTGGTTATAAACAGCAAAGGCAACCGGGAAAACTTCTTCCTCCATTAAAAGATGGAGAATTGTATTGTAAGTGAAGGTATTGGGCCTACAATTGAACTCAACCATCTTGCTAAAGCATTCCACTGCCTTTTCAGCCATGCCCAACTTCGTATAAGCAGAAATCATGACTGCAAACGCTTCAGGTGAGATGGGATGTTTGCTAATTTTAAGTTCTTCCAGTAATTTCCATGCTGATTCAAAATCCTGCATTCCCTGCAACTTATCAATCATTGAATTGTGAGAATCCCAGCTTTTAAGGGCCGTATGCCTCGAAGACCAAATGAAGAACCTGAATCCCAATTTCGGGTCCTTCTCCTCTTTGAGCACAGATGCCACCACATTGGGGGAAATCAATGGAGTTAGGGTTTCAAGGGGTGTTTCTATAACCTCTACATCTTTGAGGATACTGCAGATCTCTTTTGAAACTGCTGCTTCATCTCTGGGGGAGAGAAAGTGCCTGGCTTTTATGCCACTTCTGGTGATTTGATTGGTGATTTGATTGAAGATATAAGAGAGTTTCATACTCTTGATAAAAACCAGGCGAGCTCGGTTCACTTACTATGCCTCGGATTTCATCAGGATTTGAGGCCATTTCCGACAGGCATGTAGAGAGAGATAGAAGCTTAGCTGTGAATAGGTCTCTCAAATCAAAGATATCAAAGAGAGCGAAATTGTTATTCTATGTTTCATAGACTCAGTCTTCTGAGCTTTTAATCCCTAATCCAGCTTTTTACTTGCAGAGTGAGAGCGCCAAGGTTAAGACTTCATAGCTCAGTGAAATCAGGATGAGAGAGAGCGACTCGATAACTCTGTGTACAGAGAGAGAATTGGGAGCTCCGTGTAGAAAGAGTTGGTTGCTCCGTGTCGAGAGAGAGAAAGAGAGCCTTGGGCCCGGTGTAGAGAGAGAGAGCGCCCCCCTCATACTGTAGAAATAAGACTCACGCAATTTCAATGTCCACAAAACATATTATAGCCTGCAAATCTATCATAGTATCATTACTCTTTTATCTTTGGGTGCGGTTTCTATAAGGATGCAACCTTAAACGTGGCGCACCTTAAAATTTTGTGATAACATGTAATTTTGTTATAAAAAATTTTAGTATTATCTTAAAATCTATTTTCATACCAAATTAAAAAAATTTAAATTTTAAAAATGGTTAACATTAAGTAGACCTAATAAATACATGAAAATCTTGAAAATGGAAAGTTTAGATAATGTGTTACAAGATGCATTATTTTTTAGGACTCAAAATTTTTTTTTTTCCATATTCATACATCTCAATATAGAGATGATCGATTAGAAAGGTTTTTCAACATCAAAATAACAATTTCGATAGATTTTTTAGGTGCATATGTGATTCTACATTTTAAGGTTGAAACCAGTGGTTTAAAAAGCGAATCGGTGACTCAGATCAGGCATCTCAAAAACCCATTCGGATAGGCGAATCGACGATCCAGATCGAGAATCAGCTGAATCGATCGGATTAAACCTTAAAAAAAATCTGAAAAAATTATTAAAATTCATTATAAATGTTGTTTTTTAGGAATTTAATAAGAAATGATGGTACTCCATTAAGAATTTTCATTTCTTTGCATGAATATACGAATATTGATATGTTCTTTCTCTGCATAGACTATTACTTACCATTCAATTTACATCACACAAAAGGATAAACATAGAATTATCATGGATTAAGTATATCATCATACATGGACTACAATAAAGCATACAATTCGTAACATACAATCTAAAAATAAAATGATAGACGACGCCGTTCTTCATCTTGGTCAAGTTGGTACCATTGATTGAATTCGCGTGACAATTCATTAACTCGTTTTAAAAACGAATCATCCAAATTAGTGGGCACCTGACTATACCCAAATCCCTGAGTGTTAGTGTTTTGTTGTGGTCCTAATCCAAAATCCTCGAAGCTTGTCCATCTTTCTACATGATCGTGCTCATCCCTACCCTCTTGTTGTTGGGACTCGATATGTGAATAATTTGGCTGGGATTGGGTGGCTTCATAATCATCATCTCTCTCATTTTCCCTTAGACCTCCTTCTCACTCTCCCTCATTAGGTGCAATATCATCGACATCTCCAACGAATTGTGGATATGTTGGAGGGCTGCTTCCTCTTTCATGCTGTTCATCACCTTCTTCAAGATCTTCCTCACTGATAGCCTCAAGGAACACTCTCTTGTGCAACACTGGCTCATCTTCTTCTACTACCCATTGTTCTGCTGTGTCTGTAACAAATATTGTGTCCAAGTCTATCGTCTCATAGTCTTCAAGCTTCCTTCTTATTTGTCGCTCTCGGAGGTTTAAGTTGTAATGCACATAGACTAGTTTATGAAGCTTCTTCGAAGCGAGTCGATTCCTCCTAATATTATACAATCATTGGAACGTACTACAGTTTCGCTCACAGCCAGTAGCAGAACATGTTTGGGAGAGCACCTTGAGTGCTATCCTCTCTAAGTGAGGTGCATCACTACCATATATCTCCCACCGTTGGATTAAAATGTAAAAAACATTGTAAGGGCAAGAACAATTCATAAGATTAAATATATGAATGAACAAAATATTAGTTAGGGGATAACCTGGATCCATCTCAGTTCGAGAATTCCTGGCAAGTCTAGTTCCAAAGGATCCTATAGCATCCCTATACATAGCAAGCTAAAACAAAATATATCGTTTTAGTGCATTATTCCTCACAAATATAACAACTCCATCAAGTTCTTACCTAAATATTAAATAATACCTCTTGTATTACTGCTACCTGATTTCGATGGCTTCTCTCCATCCTGGCAATAATGTATCTGACCTCTTCCATAATCTTGTGGGGATGTTCAGGTGTCAAATAGAAAAAATTTTGGTTAAAGTAGTAACCTAGAAAATATATAGATAGAAAAATGTCATTTAAAATTTCATAAAAAAAATAATTTAGAATGAAACATTCTAATGATATAAATATATATTTACCTGCATAATGAATTGGACGTCCAAATTTGGTGTTCCACCTTCTTTCTATAATCTCTATCACTTTACTAACAAAACTACACTTTTTCCCAATAGCTAATTTGGCCATCTCGATATCTTTATAAAAGATGCCCTTGGTAGCTTTCTTGTCAACATCCAGCATGCTTAACACCATGACCAAAGGGGCAGTGGCCTCTACGATACTTGAACATGGAGACCAAAACCTCCTATTTGAGACTATACCATCCACTTTTAGCCCGGTACTGGACTTCGAGAGGTGGTCATTTAACCACTCTTCACTGGTAAACAATCTCTTTATTGTACCTTCAGATTCCCGAATGGAGTCCATAGCCAAGTAATCTGTCGCAAAGCGGGTTATGGCAGGCCTGATTATCTCTTTTTTCTTAGACTGTTCTATGAACAAAAATAAAATTTTAGAATGGTTATATATAAATCTTGACACCAACCTCGCTTCCTGAACATTATCCGTAATAAACTGGACTACATGCTTATCTCCCACCTCCTCCACTATCTGATTATATAGTCGTACGTAGAAGTTTGCATCCTTCTTCGTCCCTGATACGTATTTGCTAGACAAAAAAGCTATACCTTTTAGGGAATAGGCCAAGAAGTTTAAAAACTCCTTTTTACTAACTTTATTCAACCAACCATCACTTATGAGAGTAATGCATGTTCTTGGCCAACTCTGTTTATATTCTTCAATCCACTTTCTAACTTCCTCCACCTCTTCATCCAATATTGGCTCACTGAGCTCATATGCCATCGAGGGTTTTACGATGGGCTCGGCTCTCTAGATTGCGTTAACCATAGGTAGAAAATATGAGTTATTAGCAGCATCAAATGCGATCCCTTTACCGTATAACCATTTACCAATATATCTGCCCAACATGTTTCTCGTACCTTTCACCATGCCTTTGAGGGTCAGTTGTTTTGAGTTAGGCTTTGAGATAAATGGGTCTATACGACCATGACCTGCAATATTGGCACTGTTAGATAAGCTAGAAACAATTTCTTCAACGTCTGATTCTTCTTGATACGTATTGTCACCAACCCCTCCATACATATTTGAGCTGGGGTCGCCATACATGCTTGAGTTGGGCCCTCCATGCATGTCTAAGCTAGGTCCACCATGCATGGCCATGTCATAACCACCAAGCATTCTAAACCTGCGTTCCCTCTAGTATGTTTCCTGTAAATTCATTCTTGTGGCCATCTCCAAGTCATTATTATATTGCTTTTCTGGATCATTCCCGCTTGATGGCGTATATAAACTAGTTATCTCATCATCCATCCTCTGCTTTGCAATTTTTTTACCTTTGGTAGTGTCACACCCCAAGAATTTACAATACAGATATTCTTGAGATGTGACAGTTCAAAACATATATACAACTCTTGATAGGACAAATTTACAGGGGCGAGGTCTTACAAAGTAAATAAAGAAAGCTAGCACAACAACAAATATCTTCCAAGGTTGATCTTGACTAGCACTCAAAATGAATCCGCAGTTATCCTGAAAAAATGTTTACCATAGTTTGATGACTTTGGCTACTCAGTAAGTGATCATCATAATCTTAAAAATAATCATGGTTGGAAGATATCAATATTTTCTAAAAGGAGATATATTAACAGAAATGCATCAACAGTTTCACTTTCAATAAATGCATAATTAAGTATAATCCGAATAATTGAAATGCATATAACACTTTAACAGTAGT